GGCCAATGGGCTTACAAGGGCTCAGAGCACAGAGGCCCCAAGGGCACAGGGCAGCCATACTGTCAGTGTATTGGAAGCTGCTGTATGGAAAGGATGGAGAGAGATGACAAACTACAAAGGGAGAAATTTGGATCAGTTAGGAATCTGTGTTTTACATCCAAGTACTAGTTCTCTGGGCAACCACCCCTATGCAGCCTTCTTCTTTGTGGTCTAATTTTTCGGGGCTCTTTTGTCTTTAGAGATGGGTCGGTGGGGCTACACAGTGCAGATGGATGAATATACTGCTGCAACTTTTGTATTTTGACCACTGGCCCCACCAGCTGTCAAAATGCCCAAATTACAATTTTCCAGCAGCAGCTCCAATTTTTCAGTCAAGGGATGTAGGTCAGGGGGTGACTGATAGGGCCATCCACTAAGCAAACTTCAGCTGCTTCATCAGGAACCAGCAGAAACTTGAGCAGTGTATGGCCAGCTTTATAGAGACCTTTTTCTTTGCCTCGCAGGACAAAGAACAAGGATCACTTATCCCCCACATCCCCCTCTGGAAGGATAGAATGACCTTTCTTTTGTCCCCCCTGCTACAAAATGCAGATACCAAGCATTTCCCACTATGGGTAAACATATTTTACTGGTCATACAGTATGTACGTTACTTCATTGTATGTGATATTTCATTTTAGTGTAATACAAATTTTATACCCTTTTAGACATTTAAAAATTTATTGTGGGGTTTGTTTTTGCATTTTAATATTATTGTTATAACTTTCTTTTAGTCTTAAAATCATTTACGTGTGTTTTAAACTATATGTCCTTTTTATATAATATATATCAGGGGCGGACTGACCATTTGGAAACTCGGGCACTGCCCGGGGTCGGTAGGGGGCCCCATAAGATGCCCCTGGTACTTTTTCAAAGGCTTTTTTGAGTTTGGGCAAGGACATGATCCCCTATTGCCCGGGGGCCCCATGAGTTGTCAGTCCACCCCTGATATATATTTTTGAAGCCCTGATGAAGGGGGTAGTGAGTTGGTCCCCGAAAAGTGTTGGCTGTTCTGTGTGATCATACTGTGAGTCAATAAAGATAGCTAGACTCTTCCACCAATTGTTTGGCTCCCCATTGTGTTTATATTTTGTTTTTTTCAAAGGCGTGTTCATATTTTGAGTCACATTCTAGGTACCCATCATAGGGAGCCTTGGTTTACGTAAGTGACCTCACTAGAGCGCCAGAGACACTGTAATGCTTTCATCATAATATTGAACTAATAGGCATTTTGGGTGTGTCATTTGAGGTTTACATACCCTCTTCCCATGTGACAGTGCGATTGGACCAGCACCATCATATTGGGGGACAGGGATGGACTTCATAGCTCTGTGTAAGCTCCAGCTAGTTTGTTTAGAGTTTACATATGGTCCTCCTAGCCTGGTTCTGGCATCTGGGAGTGAGAAATGGTGAGTATGTGCTACAGAGAAGGGAGAGCTAAGTGACACTCTTACTTTGCCTTCCATAGGTAAAAGAAAGGGTCACCTTACCAAAGGGATGGCTCTCTGCTGATAAAGAGGAAAAATGTTGGCTCATACCTACTGTCTATGGAGAAAACAAGGCTCTCAGTCCCATATGTCTCATCATGGTGACAGTAATAATTTGGGCCTTGATCAAATGTAATGTGAGCACACAAAAGGAAAAGGTGGCACAATGCTTGGGTACTAACACACCACAGACTTGGTAAAAAATGTATCTTCTGTAGAACCTGTTATATTCAATGGATTTGTTGAGCTAATGTTCTTTTGGGGGAAGTAGGACATCCACTGAAACTCCATATATACCTCCCCCAGATGTCACTAATCTCTGTACTGGCACTGGCTAGCTCGACCCACCCACAGTTAGCCATGGAAGTTAGATCTAACTTCTCAGGGCGCGGAGTCTAAGTGGCAAGGCTGTGAGCCCTTCACCAGGGCATCACATCTCAGATGGACTTAACCATACCAGAACCAGGGGCGGACTGACCATCACCATGGAAACTCGGCACTGCCCAAGGGCCCGGGGTCAGTAGGGGGCCTCATGAGATGCCCCTGGTACTTTTTTCATAGGCTTTTTTGAGTTTGGGCAAGGACAACAAGGGACAGAACATGATCCCCTATTGCCTGGGGGCCACATGATCCCCGGGTTCCTGGGGCCAATGGTTGTCAGATCAAAGGAGCCCCTGTACCAAAGAAGTGATAAGCCTTATATTCACAGTACAGTTGTGCTCAAAAGTTTGCAAGACACAACCCTGGCAGCCACAAATTGTTAATGTTCTTTATTGAAAATATGGGGGACCACAGAAACCTGAAGGACATATTGAAGCACATGAATAACATGAACCACAGGGAAATCAAATAGTTTGAGCCTTGACCATATAATATCCCCCAGATGTCACTAATCTCTGTACTGGATAGGTAGCTCTTCATCCTATTCTTAGCCATGGAATGTTTCACATGGTCACACTAGATCTAACCATTTTGCTCATGTACCAAAGAAGTGATAAGCCCTCTATTCACTACATACAGTTGTGCTCAAAAGTTTGCATACCCTGGCAGCAATTGTGAAGTTTTGGGATTGATATTGTAAATATGACTGATCATGTCAAAAAATGCTCTTTTATTGAAGGAAATGATCATATGAAGCCATTTATTATCAAATAGTTGTTTGGTTCCTTTTTAAATCATAATGATAACAGAAATCACCCAAATGGCCCGGATCAAAAGTTTCCATCCCCTGGAATGTTTGGACTTGGCACAGACACACAAGCATTTTTTTGCATGATCAGTCATATTTTCAATATCAATGCCAAAATTTCACAATTTCTGCCAGGGTATGTAAACGTTTGAGCACAACTGTATATCTCCATCCACCAAAACTGCAGGCTACCATTATTATTTGGCACATGTACAGTCTGATCAGCCCAACATGCTTGAGTAGTATCACACCACAGATCTGGTAAAATTGCACATTTACTAAAACTGGAGAACTCAAAATCTGGTGCAGCTGTGAATGAGAGCCAATCAGCTTCTAACTTTAGCTTGTTCAATCAAGCTTTGACAATAAAACCTGGAAGCTGATTGGTTTCTATGTAGAGCTGCACCAGATTTTGCCTTCTTAAGTTTTAGTAAACCTCCCCCATAATAATATAATGGATTTGATGAGGAAAGGCTCTCTTTGGGGAGGGGGAGCTCCCACTGAAACTTTTTATACCTCGCCACAGATGTCACTAACTTCTGTACTAGGGGAGCTGGCTCTTCCATTTCTCAGGTGTGAAATGTTCACAATCAGCCTACGTGTAGCACCTTTACACCTCACACTGGATCCAGCCCATTGGACTCATTCACCAAAGACATGATTAGCAACCCATTCACTACCTGACATCACTGAATCCATACATATCCATGTACCAATAATACAGAATATCATTATTAGTTGACATGTGTACATGTAGTGTATGTAAGTGCGAGGGTTAGGTCCTACATAATTGGATCTGAAGAAGAGGGATTCCGGGTGGCGTCATCTTGGTGGTAGATCACTTTGGGTCCTACTATTCACTGTGTCACAAGATGGTGGCTTGACATGCTGTATATCTTCACCGTTTGTATGTATTTTATCTTTTTCCAGTAATAAAGCACCCCAGGGATAATACACTAGGCTGGTGCTCCCTCTTTTGTTTCGTCTTTTGCAGTTGCTATTGGACTACCCCAGTCATTAGAGGGCAGCAAGGCCTGGCATTCCCCTGGATATGGTTCTACAAGGAAGCATGTGCGAACTGACCCTAGTCCACCACACTTATGCGCAGGAGGTTTTACTTCATTTTAGCTATTTGACATGTACAGTCTAATCAGCCCAGCATGCTTGGACACGAACACATCAAAAACCTAGAAAAAAAAATCTCATTTTCTGTAGCTCCTGTTATATTCTATGGATTCGATGAGCAAATAGTCAGACTTCTTGTGGCACTATCACACCTTGCAATGGATCTAAACAATCTGCTCATGCACCAAAGACATGACGAGCAACCAACTCACTTCTGGATCCATCCAATACACATGCATCGTTGACTTGATATGTCTGTGGCATGCTTCCATGCATCTAGATACCAAAGCTACAGGCTACCATATTTAGTTGGCAGATGGAAGGTCTGATCAGCCCAGATCAGGAGACATGAGGCAGGAAGGAGAGCTTTCTCATGGCTGATTATCAGGCTGGGAGAAAGACCAGCCAGACTTTGTAATGCCACATACTGTAGCTGAGAACTGCGGGGGTGCGGGCATGGATACCCTTCATCACAGGGGGATCTGATACATAAGAAAGTGCAGTGAGGGATCCTTTTCTATCAAGACATAATAATTTTACCAGGACAACATCTGTTTAAAGAATGCATTATGAGTTACTTTTTTGAACACTGTTGAAGTCCCAGACATACATCAGTTGGCACATAGACATATAGATATATTTTCTCATACTGGGACACCATACATTGTCCAATAGATGAAGTATACTTTTCTCCAATAGTTTCAGATTCTTCTCTCCTATAGCTTTGTCTTACGTACACTATATGATCAAAAATATGAGGGCACCATTCCCAATTGTTGAGTTCAGGTGTATCTAGTAAAGGGTACCGGCAATACTACAGCATACAAAGACATTGTAGACAATCAAATGCCTCCAACCTTGTGGCAACAGTTTGGAGAAGGCCCTTTATTGTTCCAGCATGACTGTGCCTCTGTGCACACAGCCAACTCTAAAATTGGTGAGTTTTGTGTGGAGGACCTTCAGTGGTCTGCACAGAGTGAATGTTGTTATAGCCACAAAGGGGTACTAATGCACAATTTGTGTAATAAGATGTCCAACAAGCTCATGTAGATGAGGTGGTCAGGAGTCCATCAACATTTGTCCATGTAGTGTATCTTGTATATATCTTCCTACATATTATATTTTAACATAACAAAGGTTAACCAGGAGAAAGTCCTTTTTTTAGTCATCTGTGTATTCATGACAAAGATGTGGGGTAGGTAGGGAAATGGGTAGAGCTGAGCTCGTTTCATTGATCATTTCCCCCTGAAAAATAAAAGTATGAGACATAGGATAATTATAGAGTATGTCATATACTTACTAAAAATATTACATTAAAAAAAAATAAAATTAAAAAACAATTCAAAGTAACAACAGTACTGTGACGCCATAATACGGCGGTTATCAAATCTACATTTTCAGAAAAAAAGACATTCGTATCATTTAGTGTGGTAAAATCTCCAAATTTCCTGTTAAAGTATAAAAGATGAGGCTGAGTCTGAGTTGTGTAAATAGTTAGCAAACCTTTTTTTTTTTTTTTACATTAAAATGCGCTTAAAACCATTAAACATATATTTTCCAAACACCCAAAAAAAAAAAACATGGTATTTGCAAGAGTTGTATGCTGCATGATTTAAGGGCAACTGTTTATCAGATTTTTTTTTATTTTCAGTAAAAATATTTTCAAATAAATATCCAAATTTTCTATAAATTATAAAAGATAAGGCTAAACAATTAAAGAGATACAAAAAAAAAACACATTTGTTTTACATTAAAACACACTTAAAACCACTAAACATTATATACTTTCTAAAAGCAGAGGACCCAAAAAAAACAAAAAACATGGGATTTGCAATTTTTTTTAAGTAGCACGATATTAGATGTAGCCCCTTGTCCTAAACAAAGGTTACTAGCCTAAACTTAGTTATTGGTTGAGTGGTAGTCAGTCCAGACTAATTCTGTAGTTTTTGACCAGTTTTTTCCCTAAGCTTCAGTTGGGTTGTGATTTCTGCCTTTTGCCAATAGCTGTCACTGGTCCCACTGGTCATAGTATGAGCTTTCATAAACAAGACTGCGTTATGAATATTTATATTTTTCCTTCATCCAGTCCAGTAGGAGGTTTAGGCCACTGGTGCATACGGGGGGAGGATATAAATATTTGGGACAGGCCATGTGCTGGCTCTCTTTCCCTGGGCTGGGGCCTGGGGAAGGTGCTGCTGGATGGAGCTCTGCTGTTAGGCTCAATAGTCTGTTTTGGGCCTAGCATGTGCTGACGTGTTCCTGAAGCTGTCTTGCCTTGTGTGTGGAGGAAGCTATGCAAGGAGAAGATCAGGGGAGGCCCCTTGATGAAGAGAGCCAAGAAGAAGGCTGGCCTTTCAGAAGGACCTGGTGCTGACTCACTTGGAGGATGCACTGAAATTTGGGAATGGGCTTACAGAGTTGCCGGGTCAGCGACAAGATTCTGACACTGTAAAGCTGGACATGGAACTGGAGAGTCTGTAAGTGATCTGCCTGGCATCTGGGACCCCTAACCTTAACCCTCCTTCATCACCTTAGCTGTTCTGGAATAAAACTCTAAAAAGACAAACGTGACTGGGTGCCCAATATTCTTCCTTAGTCCCCCATTCGCCTCTCTTCTTTTATTTTTTCTCGTGGACACCATGGGGACAAACGTGGATCTGAACCATCCGATGGGTCTTCAATTTGACTTTTCAGTTTAACCCCTCAGACCCCTAAGAACTGCCACCATTTTAATCCCAGATTTAAGATTACATTCTGGGTTTTGACATAAAAATAACAACTATGCCCTCAATACAAGGGATTGAATCCTTACTTTTTCTTTTGTCTGTGCTGTCAGAATGTTGTTCCATTGAAGTCTACTGGGAAACCAACACTTCTGGAAGAGACAACCTTGTTGATCCCCCGCAACATTCATTGGTTTCTCCCGCTGATTTCCACATCATTACAGTACACAGTAGTGGTGGGGAGTTCACTGGTAGGAGCCAACGAATGCTGTGGGACATCAATGAGATCACTTGAAGAGTCCATTTTCCAGTAGACCTCAGCAAAGGATTTCTCTTGTGTTCTGGCAGACAACAGGAAAGGCGATTTGGATTTTTCTCTTAAGGATCAGATCCCTTTAAAAAAGGTGTACTCACTGTACGATGATTGATAATTGCAAAGTGGTTGGCTTCCATGATGGCATTTTGGGCTTTAGCTATGGTCTCTTCATCCCAGTCTGCACTATCAATGTTCACAACGGCATCCATTATGCTGAAACAGACAAACACCAGGAGGTGGAAGTGAGACTGTGGGTAATGAAGCATTTAAAGGCACAGTAACCTGAAAGAGTTTGTTCAACTGTTTGTTGTACCCTCAGACTGTACTCTATGACATTAAATCTCATACGGTGATGCAGTGCATTGCAGTACTGTTCATTGTGAACCTCAAAACGCTATCACTGTAGTGAGCAAGGTACTCATACTGCCATTTACCACAACCCACATGCCACAAAGGGTCAATTGTGTTTTTTAGTATGCTTACTTCTGGAGGAAAAGAAATTTAATCTCCAAACACGGAAAGGTTTCTTCTCAGTAAGAGCTGTGAAAATGTGGAATAGACTCCTTCAAGAGTTGGTTCTGGCCAGCTCAGTGGATTGCTTTAAAAAAGTCCTGGATTCTTTCTTAGATACACAGAATATAGCTGGATATAACATTTATAAGTAAAGTGGATCCAAGGAATATCCGATTGCCTCTCGGGGGATCAGGAAGGAATTTATTTCCCTGCAGGAGCGAATTGGATCGTGCTTTGCTGGGTTTTTCTTTGCCTTCCTCTGGATCAACTGTGGGTGTAGGATCATAATTTTTTTTTTTTTTAATTTAATGGTTGAACTGGATGGACTTTTGTCTTTCTTCAGCCAGACTAACTATGTAAGGTGTGCTGTCAACCCAATCAAAAATGAATGGGCTGTTAACACAGTGTCTTAAAGCTTGATATCGCATTGAATTGCAAAACAACAAGGTCTGTGTATAAAAAAATAAATAAATTACTGTGCAAATGTGTCACTCATTCGCCCAGCCGTCATAAAATCTCCATATTTTTCCTAATACGTTTGTTTCCCAGGATCATCAGCTCCATCTACTGGCTGCAATGCAGTATTTCCCTGAAATACCTCAATCAGAAAAGTACTGCATTATTGATACTAAATGCTTCTGATGATACTAGGAAATAAACACAACAAATGAATCAATAAATTACGGTGAAGATAATCAACAAATTACGGTGAAGATACGTGATGGCTGTGCAAATGTTTGACAAATTCACGCAACAAACTTTTTTTTTTTTTTTTTCTTTTGTATAAATAATCCTCATAGTCTGAACATCAAGACTGAAATTTCGAAGGCAGAATCTCCAGCTCAGAATGTGATTCTGTGCTCTTGTTTTTCATGAAATCTCATTCTTGATTTATTGTCTTTTTGAGGAATTTTTGCAATTGGATTCAGAAATACAACCTGAAGGCAAACACAATCTGAACTGATTAATGTACAGAACAACAAACACAGCAGAGAAAACCCAACTTTTCTGCTTCATTATCCGTGATCTAAAATAATTTAAAAAATGTAATTCAGTAACAGAGAGAGACCCTCCCAAACAGGTGTATCCAGATCTGCATATATTAGGATCCATTTTTTTAAAGTTTTTCTGACATAGTGTACTTTGGTGTCAACAGTTTAATCACTAATACTTTATCATTTATATTTGTTTAGGATTAATACATTTTCAGGACACAGGTAATAGTAGTGCTAGGGTTATGGCTTTCATTCTTTATTATAGTCAAAATTTAAGAAAAAAAAGATAATTTAAATAAAAAATATTGCGTATTTTTATACTATGTACTCTCATTTTCTGCCAGCAAGTGGAGAATTTTGTGTTTTTTTCAGTTTTCTGCTTGTCTACAGAGCTCAGTAGCTCAAGATCGAATTTGCACACAACTGTCAGATATTGTGCAATGCTTTTCTCTTTACAAAACCCATAGTACTTCAGGAATCTAGGAAATAAATGTGATTCAGTCTTCTGGCTTTCCTTTAAGTGGGCCTGAATGCCTGGAAGGCACGGCTTCTGTATCATGTAACTGCTGTGATTGTCTGTGATTGTCTGTGATTGTCTCTCATTAACAGTCACCACTCTGTCCTCAGAGCAGACCCGAGAACTGAGTGATCAGCAGTCTTTGATCGCTGAGTTCTCAGTGTAGAGGCGGCATTGAATTGACCTAGGTGGATATTTCCTTTTTAAATGCAGTACTTCTAAATGCTGCTAGGTCCTGTATTCTGTCCAATTGGAAGACCGGACAAACCCCATCAATTAATCAGTGAATCGATGCAGTAGACGACATAAAAACTACGGAGGACCTTGCCGTGTCTCTGCGAAAACAAGAATGCTTTTGAAAAACATGGTTTTATTGGACTAAAAAAAAACATGGTTTATTGGATACAAAAATTTGTTGACTGCCGACCCCCTTCAGGTAGAGAGTTGAGGAATACTCCCCCACCCAATCCTGCCACCCCCTTACCCCCATCTCTCTCTTTCTTATTTTTTTATTTTTTTAATCCCTTCTCTTTTTTTTTTGCTCTGTTCATTTCTCCCCCTATTTTTCTTGTTCTTTTATCTGTAGCTTTGTTCTTAAAACCCTAAAAAAACATAGGCGGGGCTTGTCTTTAACCCTTGTAGGCGACCCTTGAGTGGTATTATCAGCAGAGCTCCTGTCTGTTCCTCTGTCTATGTATGTATGTATATATTTATTGAAATATATTTTGAAATATATTGAAAATGGCCAAAATTGTAGCATTTCAAATATATGTCAATATATTTGGGAAGAATATTTTTAAAATATATTTCAAATATATTTTTCTTCCATGGGGGAATGCAGTTCAATTCTGTTAATTACTGATGCAGAGCCACTGATCTGGGGGTGGCGCCACACTACACTTATGCATAATTAATGGACTCAATGTGTATAATTCTCCACGAGGGTCGGATTAATCACACTGAAGTCTATAAACACACAACCATTGCTGCCTAATACAGAACCCCTGTGCTGGGATTACTTCTGTTACACAACATTTCTTCTTTACTGGATCCCAACCTTGCTAGGGACATGGTGACCATGTGTATAGAAGTTTACAAGAGATTATAAGAGATAACTGTATTTTCACTGACCATAAGAAAAAAAAATGTGTGCCGTAGTACTATGGAGAAAAAAAAAAAAAAACCCTTTTTGCCTTGGGGCACCTATAGGTACAGGCGTGCTTTGCCTAAAGTTATAAACTCACGTTTCTGATTCGTCCAACTCCAGGACTTCAACCACATGCTGGATATCGAGGAGACTCCAACAGGCAGCAATAGGAATGACAGGATAATAAAACAGGAACACCACACACATTTCATTCAGTGTGCTTGGTCCTCCCTGAAAAAATACAAAGACAATATCATTTAAATAAACAAAATGCAAACTATAAAATATATATATATATATATATATATATATATATATATATATACAGTGGGGCAAAAAAGTATTTAGTCAGCCACCAATTGTGCAAGTTCTCCCACTTAACAAGATGAGAGAGGCCTGTAATTGGCATCATAGGTAGACCTCTCAACTATGAAAGACAAAATGAGAAAAAAAATCCAGACAATCACATTGGCTGATTTGGAAAGAATTTATTTGCAAATTATGGTGGAAAATAAGTATTTGGTGAATATGAAAAGTTCATGTCAATACTTTGTTATATATCCTTTGTTGGCAATGACAGAGGTCAAACGTTTCCTGTAAGTCTTCACAAGTTGTTGCACACACTGTTGCTGGTATGTTGGCCCATCCTCCATGCAGATCTCCTCTAGAGCAGTGATGTTTCGGGGCTGTCGCTGGGCAACACGGACTTTCAACTCCCTCCAAAGGTTTTCTATGGGGTTGAGATCTGGAGACTGGCTAGGCCACTCCAGGACCTTGAAATGCTTCTTACGAAGCCACTCCTTCGTTGCCCGGGCGGTATGTTTGGGATCATTGTCATGTTTGTTTCATCTTCAGTGCCCTTGCTGATGGAAGGAGGTTTGCACTCAAAATCTCACAATACATGGCCCAATTCATTCTGTCCTGTACATGGATCAGTCGTCCTGGTCCCTTTGCGGAGAAACAGCCCCAAAGCATGATGTTGCCACCCCCATGCTTCACAGTAGGTATGGTGTTCTTTGGATGCAACTCAGCATCCTCCAAACACGACGAGTTGTGTTTCTACCAAACAGTTCTATTTTGGTTTCATCTGACCATATGACATTCTCCCAATCCTCTTCTGGATCATCCAAATGCTCTCTAGAAAACTTCAGACGGGCCCGGACATGTACTGGCTTAAGCAGGGGGACACGTCTGGCACTGCAGGATTTGAGTCCCTGGCGGCGTAGTGTGTTACTGATGGTAGCCTTTGTTACGTTGGTCCCAGTTCTCTGCAGGTCATTCACTAGGTCCCCCCACGTGGTCCTGGGATTTTTGCTCACTGTTCTTATGATCATTTTGACTCCACGGGGTGAGATCATGTGTGGAGCCCCAGATCGAGGGAGATTATCAGTGGTCTTGTATGTCTTCCATTTTCTAATTATTGCTCCCACAGTGATTTGTTCACACCAAGCTGCTTACCTATGGCAGATTCAATCTTCCCAGCCTGGTGCAGGTGTACAATTTTGTTTCTGGTGTCCTTTGACAGCTCTTTGGTCTTCACCATAGTGGAGTTTGGAGTGTGACTGTTTGAGGTTGTGGACAGGTGTCTTTTATACTGATAACAAGTTCAAACAGGTGCCATTGATACAGGTAATGAGTGCAGGACAGAGGAGCCTCTTAAAGAAGAAGGTACAGGTCTGTGAGTCTTGTTTGTAGGTGACCAAATACTTATTTTCCACCATAATTTGCAAATAAATTCTTTCCAAATCAGCCAATGTGATTGTCTGGATTGTTTTGCTCATTTTGTCTCTCATAGTTGAGGTCTACCTATGATGCCAATTACAGGCCTCTCTCATCTTTTTAAGTGGGAGAACTTGCACAATTGGTGGCTGACTAAATACTTTTTTGCCCCACTGTATATACCCTCAATAGAGAACAGTATTGCTTAACGTTCAGACAGCAATGCTTTAAAACTGAACTTCAGCCTTCTCCTTCAGTCTTGCACAGTTGTACCCATATGGAAGAGAAATATATTTTCAATATATTTAGAAACAAAAATTATAAATGCGACATATATTTACATTATATTGGCCAACACGAATATATTTTAACATGTATTCCAAAAATGTAAATTAAAATATATTATCCAAAGGCATATTTTTTAAAATATATTTTGCAGATATTTTGAACATTTAAAAAAATGCATTTAAACATAGATTTTTACATAAACTTGTAGATGCATTCCCAATTACACTTTGACATTTATTTCAGCATGTGTTCTGAATATATTTTTAATAATATAATCACAAATATATTGAAATATATTGAATATGGCCAAAATTGTAGTATTTGAAATATATGTCAATATATTTGGGAAGAATATATTAAGAATGTATTTTTAAAATATATTTAAAATATATTTTTCTTCCATGTGGGTACAGGCTTCACTCCTGTACTGAAACTGATTAATCTGATTTCGCTGCACTCTGTGAGCTGCTCACAGTGTGTATTAGAAGCTGCAGCAAGTCAGATAGACTCTGGCTCATTTCCTGGCTAGAGGGCATAGATCTTTCCTCCCCAGGTTGACTGTTCTTGGCCCGAGCATTGCATGTGGGTGTTTCCTTTCTGAAAATTCCACATGGAAGAAAAAATATATTTGAAATATATTTAAAAATATTGTTCCCAAATATATTGACATATGTATAAAATGCTACATTTTGGCCATATTCAATATATTTCAAAATATATTTTAATAAATATATATATTTTTATTACAATTCATATGAAAAATATTTGTAAAAATACATTTCAAATATACTGTATGTCTTTAAAAATAGAAATCTACATTTTTGGAATGCATTTACAAATATATGTAAACATATATGTTAAAATGACTTTTATATATTTTAAAAGAAAATCTGAAGAATATATTTAAAAATATATTTTTTAAAAATATTTTTCATATATTTTGTAATATATAAAAAACGCATTTCAACATGCAGTATATATAATTCTTGAAATATATTTTAAAATATATTGAATATGGCCAGAATTGTAATATTTCAAATATATGCCAATATATTTGGGAAGAATATTTTTTAAAATATATTTCAAATATAGTTTTCTTCCATATGGGTTGGTACAACATTGGTACTGCAGGTCAATCAGTAGGTACTGTTCAAGTCAATAAGGTGTCTTTAAAAATGAGATATTCCATCTCAGCTATAACTGGGCTAAGTTCCCTGAGGACTCTTGGGTGTAATCCACCTGGATCTGGTAAATTATTAGAGAAATTAGATGCTTATTTTATAATCATTTATGCCTGCTTACAAAAGATTGCTTAAGAAACTATACTTTTGAAATACATGTAACCGCAAGCTACTTCCTTATTTGAGTCTGTAAGACTGAGCTACACCTACTTCTAGGAAGTGACAATAAAGGTCAAGCCCAGACACACAAGTCAACCAATCATATCCAGAAGAGGTGGCCGAGTCAGCATTTTGGTATTTTTAGGAAAAAGTATATAAAGCCTAGGTTAATCATTGTCAATTAGACAAGCCTGGATAGGCATCTATCAGGCTAACTGCTGTGTATGCAGCCCTATTGCACGGGTCACAGTGGTTACAACCAATAGACAAATATCCAGTGGATAGGCATCTATCAGGATAACTGCTGTGAATGCAGCCCTATTGCACGGGTCACAGTGGTTAGAACCAATAGACAAATATCCAGTGGATAGCATCTATCAGGCTAACTGCTGTGTCTGCTGCCCTATTGCACGGGTCACAGTGGTTAGAACCAAGAGACAAATATCCAGTGGATAGGCATCTATCAGGCTAACTGCTGTGTCTGCAGCCCTATTGCACGGGTCACAGTGGTTAGAACCAATAGACAAATATCCAGTGGATAGGCATCTATCAGGCTAACTGCTGTGTATGCAGCCCTATTGCACGGGTCCAGTGGTTAGAACCAATAGACAAATATCCAGTGGATAGGCATCTATCAGGCTAACTGCTGTGTATGCAGCCCTATTGCACGGGTCACAGTGGTTAGAACCAATAGACAAATATCCAGTGGATAGGCATCTATCAGGCTAACTGCTGTGTATGCAGCCCTATTGCACGGGTCACAGTGGTTAGAACCAATAGACAAATATCCAGTGGATAGGCATCTATCAGGCTAACTGCTGTGTATGCATCCCTATTGCACGGGTCACAGTGGTTAGAACCAATAGACAAATATCCAGTGGATAGGCATCTATCAGGCTAACTGCTGTGTATATGCAGCCCTATTGCACGGGTCACAGTGGTTAGAACCAATAGACAAATATCCAGTGGATAGGCATCTATCAGGCTAACTGCTGTGTAAGCAGCCCTATTGCACGGGTCACAGTGGTTAGAACCAATAGACAAATATCCAGTGGATAGGCATCTATCAGGCTAACTGCTGTGTATGCAGCCCTATTGCACGGGTCACAGTGGTTAGAACCAATAGACAAATATCCAGTGGATAGGCATCTATCAGGCTAACTGCTGTGAATGCAGCCCTATTGCACGGGTCACAGTGGTTAGAACCAATAGACAAATATCCAGTGGATAGGCATCTATCAGGCTAACTGCTGTGTATGCATCCCTATTGCACGGGTCACAGTGGTTAGAACCAATAGACAAATATCCAGTGGATAGGCATCTATCAGGATAACTGCTGTGAATGCAGCCCTATTGCACGGGTCACAGTGGTTAGAACCAATAGACAATATCCATATTTTTGCTGTATCTTGTCTCCTCGTACAAGTAAATAAACTTCTTAACTTGATCCTGAGTGCTGTCTCAGGTGGATTTCCCTCACATAAATTGTTCACATTAAAGCTTTAATAAAAGATATTTTTGAATCATTTTTCTACAAACATGTTTTCAAATAAGTAGTTCGACAAAGCTGTGACATTTTTATATATTTGTGTTTAGATCACGGGTGTCAAACTGGTGGCCCTCCAGCTGTTGCCAAACTATAAGTCCCATGAGGCATTGCAAGATTGACAGTTACAAGCATGACTCCCAAAGGCAGGGGAATGATGGGACTTGTAGTTTTGCAACAGCTAGAGGGCCGCCAGTTTGACACCCCTGGTTTAGATACTCAGTTTTACACTTCGATAAATTTGCAAACGATTCCTCAAGTGGTTATTCATATATCATGGGATGTAAGTAGCATCCCATTTAAGACAGAATTCTGTCCCTGTGTAACAAATGCATTAGGCAAAGGTTGAAGCTTACAAAGGTGACACCTTCTCTGTCAGGGGTGCTGGAGGTACATTCCACCAAAATCTGATCTCCCTGCAGGTAAAGAAAATGACTTTTTTTTTAAATTTGTCAAACTTAAGTGATCCAGATCATCAACAAATTTTATTATTACACAAAGATAACCTAAGTAAATACAAAATGCAGTTTTTAATTGATGATTTAATTTATTTAGGGAAAAAACCTGCCTGACCCTATGTGAAAAAGTAATTTCCCCCTAAACCTAATAACTGGTTGGGCCACCCTTGGCAGCAACAACTGTTATCAAGCATTTGTGATAACTGGCAGAGAGTCTTTCACATCGCTGTGGAGGAATTTGTCCCACGCTTCTGTGCAGAATTGTTTTAATTCAGCCACGTTGGAGGGTTTTCCAGCATGAAAGGCCTTTTAAATGAATTAAACACAGCATCTCAATTGGATTTAAGTCCAGACTTTGACTTGGACACTCCAAAACCTTAATTTTGTTTGTTTTTTTGAGTCATTCAGACTTGCTGGTGTGTTTCAGATCATTGTCCTGCTGCGTAACCCAAGTGTGCTTGAGGTCATGAACTGATGGCCAGACATTCTCCTTCAGGATTTTATATATACAGTCAGGTCCATAAATATTGGGTAGCGTATGTACTCTCCAGCGCCTCAGGATATGCACAGCCAAAAGGGAAGCCAAGGGTACCAGGACAGCGACAACCAAAAGGAAATGTTCCAGGGGTGCAGCCCTCCTCAGACGGGGAAATCAGCCACTGGATAAATGTATGTATATGCGTTTATAAAAACTACAAAATATTGCACTTTAAATAACCCCCTCCAACCCCTCATCTTATAACAAGTAGAGGAGGTGGAGCTTTGCTCCCAAGGCATCTAGCCCTGGTTATTTACTACTTGACCTCCATACAGGTTGGTCATCAGCTCTGAGGAAAGGGATTCGTCCCCGAAACGCGTCAGCCATTTGACCGCACTGACAGTGAGAACACCTTGCCTGCCGTTGTGGCCATTGTCATTTTTCTATGCTTTTTAGATACATGCTTCGTCTGTGAGTATGTTTTTATGATTTAATTCCTACAATAAACCTTGGATAATGCACTAGGTGTGTGCGCCACCTGTTTTTTTCTCTCTATCCATAAATATTGGGACATGGACACAATTCTAACATTTTTGGCTCTATACACCACCACAATGGATTTGAAATGAAACGAACAAGATGTGCTTTAACTGCAGACTGTCAGCTTTAATTTGAGGGTATTTACATCCAAATCAGGTGAACGGTGTAGGAATTACAACAGTTTGCATATGTGCCTCCCACTTCTTAAGGGACCAAAAGTAATGGGACAATTGGCTTCTCAGCTGTTCCATGGCCAGGTGTGTGTTATTCCCTCATTATCCCAATTACAATGAGCAGATAAAAGGTCCAGAGTTCATTTCAAGTGTGCTATTTGCATTTGGAATCTATTGCTGTCAACTCTCAAGATGAGATCCAAAGAGCTGTCACTATCAGTGATGCAAGCCATCATTAGGCTGAAAAAACAAACCCATCAGAGAAATAGCAAAAACATTAGGCGTGGCCAAAACAACTGTTTGGAACATTCTTAAAAAGAAGGAACGCACCGGTGAGCTCAGCAACACCAAAAGACCCGGAAGACCACGGAAAACAACTGTGGTGGATGACTGAAGTATTCTTTCCCTGGTGAAGAAAACACCCTTCACAACAGTTGGCCAGATCAAGAACACTCTCCAGGAGGTAGGTGTATGTGTGTCAAAGTCAACAATCAAGAGAAGACTTCACCAGAGTGAATACAGAGGGTTCACCACAAGATGTAAACCATTGGTGAGCCTCAAAAACAGGAAGGCCAGATTAGAGTTTGCCAAACGACATCTAAAAAAGCCTTCACAGTTCTGGAACAATATCCTATGGACAGATGAGACCGACATCAACTTGTACCAGAGTGATGGGAAGAGAAGAGTATGGAGAAGGAACTGCTCATGATCCTAAGCATACCACCTCATCAGTGAAGCATGGTGGTAGTAGTGTCATGGCGTGGGCATCTATGGCTGCCAATGGAACTGGTTCTCTTGTATTTATTGATGATGTGACTGCTGACAAAAGCAGCCGGATGAATTCTGAAGTGTTTCGGGCAATATTATCTGCTCATATTCAGCCAAATGCTTCAGAACTCATTGGACGCCGCTTTACAGTGCAGATGGACAATGACCCAAAGCATACTGCAAAAGCAACCAAAGAGTTTTTTTAAGGGAAAGAAGTGGAATGTTATGCAATGGCCAAGTCAATCACCTGACCTGAATCCGATTGAGCATGCATTTCACTTGCTGAAGACAAAACTGAAGGCAAAAATGCCCCAAGAACAAGCAGGAACTGAAGACAGTTGCAGTAGAGGCCTGGCAGAGCATCACCAGGGATGAAACCCAGCGTCTGGTGATGTCTATGCGTTCCAGACTTCAGGCTGTAATTCACTGCAAAGGATTTGCAACCAAGTATTAAAAAGTGAAAGTTTGATTTATGATTATTATTCTGTCCCATTACTTTTGGTTCCCTAAGAAGTGGGAGGCACATATGCAAACTGTTGTAATTCCTACACCGTTCACCTGATTTGGATGTAAATACCCTCAAATTAAAGCTGACAGTCTGCAGTTAAAGCACATCTTGTTCGTTTCATTTCAAATCCATTGTGGTGGTGTATAGAGCCAAAAATGTTAGAATTGTGTCGATGTCCCAATATTTATGGACCTGACTGTATATATATATAAATATATATATATACACAATATATTGCCAGAAGTATTGGGCCAGGCCTCCAAATCATTGGATTCAGGTGTTCCAAGCACCTCCATGGACACAGGTGTATACAATCAAGCCCCTAGGCATGCAGACTGCTTCTACAAACATCTGTGAAAGAATGGGTCGCTCTCAGGAGCTCAGTGACTCCAAGCGCGGTCCCGTGATAGGTTGCCACCTGTGCAATAAGTCCATCCGTGACATTTCCTGGCTCCTAAATATTCCACAACCAACTGTTAGTGGGATTATAACAAAGTGGAAGCAACTGGGAACAACAGCAACTCAGCCACCAAGTGGTAGGCCACGTCACATGACAGAGCGGGGTCAGTGCATGCTGAAGCGCACAGTGCATAGAAATCGCAAGCGGTCAGCAGAGTCAATAGCTAAAGACCTCCACACTTAATGCAGCCTTCAGATGAGCCCAACAACAGTGCGTAGAGAGCTTCATGGAATGGGTTTCCATGGCCGAGTAGCTGAATCAAAGCCTTATATCACCAAGTGCAATGCAAAGCGTCGGAGGCCGTGGCGTAAAGTACACCGCCACTGGACTCTAGAGCAGTGGAGATGTGTTCTCTGGAGTGACCAATCACGCTTCCCTGTCTGGCAATCAAATAGTCCTGTCTAGGTTTGGCAATTACCAGGGGAACAGTACTTGCCTGACTGCATTGTGCCAAGTGTAAAGTTTGGTGGAGGGGGATTACGGTGTGGGGTTGTTTATTTAGGGGTTGGGCTTGGCCCCCTAGTTCCAGAGAAGGGAACTCTTAAGGCGTCAGCATACCAAGACATTTTGGACAATTTCATGCTCCCAACTTTGTGGAAAGAGTTTGGGGATGGTCCCTTCCTGTTCCAACCTGACTGCACACCAGTGCACAAAGCAAGCTCCATAAAGACATGGAGGAGCCAGTTTGGGGTGGAGGAACTTGACTGGCCTGCACAGAGTCCTGACCTCAACCCCATAGAACACCTTTGGGAAGAATTAGAGCGGAGACTGTGAGCCAGGCCTCCTCCCCCGACATCAGTGCCTGACCTGACAAATGTGCTTTTGGAAGAATGGTCCAACCTTCCCATAGACACCCTCCTAAACCTTGTGGACGGCCTTCCCAGAAGAGTTGAAGCTGTTATAGCTGCAAAGGGCGGGGCCAACTCAATATTGAACCCTACAGACTAAGACTGGGATGCTATTAAAGTTCCCAATACTTTTGGCAATATAGTGTGTATGTGTGTGTGTATATATATATATATATATATATATATATATATATATGAGAGAGAGAGAGAGACAGAGAGACTGATGTTGACTGACATCACTCAGCCAGTCCAGACTCTGGAAAGATCCTAACTTTAAAGTCAGGATCCACCAAGATAGTTGGATCAGCAGCTGGTTTAGCCTCTCACCAAGCCGCTGAGAGCCTGATCCAGCTGCTCCCACCCCCTTCATAGCTAGGTGCTCCAGTGAGCACTGGAGGGGCAGACGGGACTGATAGTCACTGGCTCTCTGCTTACTAAAGACTGAGAACTTAGCCATCAGTGGTCTCAGTCTTAGAAGCGTTGGGGGACAGATGCAGCATCCACCTAGGTGAGCATATTTTCTTTTTTTGTGGACAACCCCATACTTCTCTTTTAAAAGGCTCTGTCTGAGGTGAGAAGGAGAGGCTGATTACACTGTTCAACAAATTTTTATTTTTTGCCAGTTTTGGAAACAAAAGGATCCATTTCTTAATGAATTTCACATTCTGAGTTCAAATATAACAATGAAATTTGTCAATTGGCTCTAGTTTTTCTGTAAACGGAAAGTTTTCTACTATAGGCGTAATGACTACATAATGCACAATAATTATATAGATAGATGTCTTTCCACAAATATAAAGCAAGTGATATTGACTACATAAAGCCTAAATGGCATAATATATTGCATAGGATTACCAAGAAAAATTATAGCCATAAGCTAAGTTGAATCATTTTAATACTTAGGATTCTCACTAGTTTTGTCTTCAGTTTGTGTCGGTTTTGCTTCTCTTGGCTTTTCTCTTGTATTCGAGGAAAGGGCTATCTCTTACAACTGCACGTGACTACACGCTTCAGGTTCTTCCTCACTTGACTCAACCACGAAGGATTCTGGTGCCTTAGGAATTGGTAGCCCCTCTTCATGAGGAACTGGACGTATTGCCGATGGAATATTTGGATAGTGCACAGATAACTTTTTCTTCTTATTTAGCCCTTTTCCAATTGGAGGCACCATACAAAAGTAACAATTACTAACATGATCTGTTGGCTCTCTCCAAATCATTGGCACAGCGAAAGGCATAGATGCCTTTTTTCCATTCAACCATTGCTCCAGTGCCGTCCCACAAGAATTGCAGCATATATGTGGTGCCCAGCTCTTGTCCTGGTCTCCTATCTTGCAGCCAAAATACAAGTTGTAGGCTTTCTTAATCATTCCTGTTATCCTCCTTTTTTGTGAGATAAAAGTTATTTCACCGCAGATATAGCAGAAATTATCTGCTTTATTCACACAAGTTCGAGGCATTACTGAGTAGCCTATATAAGCATAAAACGAAATGTAAAGACGCTGTCGAACTACAATCAGCTACAGATACTGCAGCTTTTATGCAGTGAAGTGATGCAATTAAAGGCTAATATTGCATCATCTCAGTATACATGCAATTTTCTATTGGTCACCAGTATCAATTGCGCAATATGCAGCTGAAGTTGCATCATAATTTTGAATGGCTTACGTCATTAGATGGGTGAATATATCATGGAAACTAGAGCCAATCAACATTTTTTAGGGTCATTTTCGTTTTTAGCACCCCAAAATTATGTAAGATTAGCTAATTTTATGCCCAAAACTTTTTACCTGTTGAACAGTGTTATCAAAGCACTATTGGTTAGCCAAAGTGACGGCACGGCAAATGTAGGTCCCTTTCTGACATGCTGCATATGTATAAAACCTTTTCTAAACTGCTATACCTTCCTTTTAAATAAGCGACCTGTGTTATGAAGGAAGATCTGACCTTGGCTGAAGATACTCTTTTTATATATGATACTGGTTTAGCAGTGTTCACATTTTATTGTCCTTCTCATTTGACCAGTACTTGGTCTCCTTGCATGTATGATCTTGTTTATGTGTTGTCTGATAATTCTATGAGCAATCAGTACAGCCCTCTTAACCCCAAGGCCAGTCTTGTACAGTGACATACTAGACAATGAATCATTTTCAAACATATGTTATAAGCTGAGTGGTATTAAACCCTCCTTTTTTACATTAAAATATTCATGTCTACCATGCAAAGTTACACCATATTTAATTTTTTTGTACCCAATCACTCAAAGGTCACATGTCCACCTGTGTAGGGACTACATGTCCCATCAACCTTAGTGTAATGTTGATGTCTCTGTCCACAGCTGTTTTCGAAGCCACTGCCATTCAGTCCCGGGAGGATGAGCTGGGGAATAGCTTACCTACCTGGGTTTCAGAGCTGGCCGTGTGTGTTTCGGCACATGGAGCATCAGCCTTTCAGGCTGTAATCCAAAAGAACAATCTCCCGTGCTCAAGATAGATATTCTGGCAATGATGGACTTTTGATCGTCTACAGCTCATATGGTCTAAGCATTTGCAAGACCTTGCAGTCCCCTTAGGACTGGGGAAGCCCAAAAGGAACAATGGAAAAAACAACAGAAGGTGCACCAGCCTTGCCATTACCTTTATAGATCCTTTTATTGAAGTGATAAAACTTTCCAATGTTGATATGGCTTCAGTCACTCCTCAATAAACCTGTACTTTTGTTTTTTGTTCCCATCCAAGATTGTAGCTTGCAAAAAACAAGAAGAGAGAGCGCACCAGCCTTGTGCATCACCTTTATAGATCCTTTTATTGAAGTGATAAAACAGATGTATACTCAAAAACTGTAATCTCAAACTCATTAATATCTATAGTGATCCTCATCGCCTGGTATACTGCACGGATCCCAATATAGGGAAGACACTTGAAATGCCTGATGGGTTTCAAGAGGGGGCCCTCTTTTATTTGTAGCCCTCAGTGCTTCCTCAAAGCATGCAGACATTTTAAGCGTCTTCCTTGTATTGGGATCCATGCAGTGGACTAAGCGATGTGGATCACTATGGATATTAATGAGTTTGAGATTATATACTGTTTTTGAGTATACATCTCTTTTATCACTTCAGTAAAAGGATCTATAAAGGTAAAGCACAAGGCTGGTGTGTCCTCTGTTCTTGTTTTTTGCAGGCTGTAATCTTGAATGGGAATGCGCTCATGAGGGTGGCTACGGTGGGGTTCTAGGGGACCTTACACGGCAATGTAGCCACTCTACAAACAAGAACAGAGGATTGAGAAACTGAAGATACGTGCTTAGGCTGAAAGTGGTACGTGCTGAAGTATACTGCTGTATTTCATTTTTTAAATGGAGGATTTAAATAGAATTTAAAACACATGGTGGTGTGTGGTGGTGGTAGGAGGGTGTATTTATCAAAACTTGAGCAGCTTTGCATGGCAGCCAATCATCTTCTATCTTCCGCTCGTTCAGTTAAGCTTTAAAGTTTGAAGCAAGAAGCCGATTGGTTGCCATGCCCAGCTGCTCCAGATTCTGGTTGCTCCAGTTTTGATAAATTTTCCCCATTTCATATAATTTCCTAGAGTCTAATAAAACAATTACTGATTAGGAAAATTTTAAAAAGAATACATGAATAAAAGTGCTAATACCAACGACAACATGATGCCCCTTTTCCCGAAAACCCATATTTATGATATAAAGTCACCCAACGTACAATTTGTACCGTGATCACTCCGGGCAAATCTCTCACTTGTTGGAAATTGAAGTCGTATCTCTTATCTTCCCCCAAGCTCCCAATTAAAGTGCCATTCCTAGTGAGCAAGAACAAGAATTGGGTATTATACAGAATGCCATACTGGATTGACAGCAACCATTGGATACCTTGAGGGTGATGTCTTAATCCACTTTATTAGTGCAGTGTTCATTTTTGGGATTTTGCCATGGTACAAAATTTGGTTTGGGATCCTTTGTAAGGGCTATAGTGTGGGTCACTTTTTTCAAGTATATATATGTTTAACATGTATACTGTGTGTGTGTATGCAGGGGCGGACTGACAATTCGAGCACTCGGGCACTGCCCGAGGGCCCGGGGTCAGTAGGGGGCCCCATGAAATGCCCCTGGTACCTTTTTTATAGGCTTTTTTGAGTGTGGGCAAGGACACAGGGGCCTCATGATCCCCTATTGCCCGGGGGCCCCATGAGTTGTCAGTCCGCCCCTGTGTGTATGTGTATATATATATATATATATATATATATATATATATATATACACACATACACTTGATACAAAGTATATCTATGACACAGAATTCCCATGCCATCATAGATTGCTAAAACAGCTGAATCGGTTTCCATTCAAACCATCTCTAATTGAAGCAGAAATTGGGGCTAAACAAACAGGAGGAAATTTATTAAAACTGGAGCACAGCTGTACATGGTAGCCAATCAGCTTCTAACATCAGCTTGGTCAATTACCCCCCGGTTCACATCTATGCGGCCATGCGGGCCAGATTTTGCACGGGCATGAGAGCCCATTCATTTGAATGGACTCCCGTGCCCATGACACGCAGGGAAAGAAGCCCTGCCCTTCTTTGGAAACAGCAGCCCGCATGGGAACCTCGGTTCCCAGTACAGTTGCGTTTTCCAGTGCGGGTGGCGTGCCATTAGAACTAATGGCACCCACCCACGGGTCTGCATTTGTCTGTGCAGGTGATACGGCTGCACAGATTTTCATGCGGATTGCGGATCCGCAGCGGCACCACCCGCACAGATGTGAAACTAGGGTTAAGCTTTGGCAATAAAACCTGGAAATTGGTTTCTATGCAGATCTACACCAGATTTTGCACTCTCCAGTTTTAGTAAATCAACCCATATTGTCTAAATGCAAAAGTCTTCCTTGAATCTTGGTGTGATTTGTGTATTTCTTCCAGATCTGTGCAATAGTCTCAGACTTTCCTGTAATAAAGACCACTCATTGCTGCTCTCTCTCCTTGGGCGGGGGAGACTGGTCTTGTCTTCACCCCTTCTATAGTTTTCTGTGCTGGGTGGGGCCTGCTGGGTCCCTCCCACACCGCTCTGCTCTCTGCATAGACTGTGTACAGCACAATGATGATGTCACTGCTAGGTTTACTAAGGAATATCTGGGCTTTAAAAGGCGTTCAGTGCACATAAAGTAGAATTTGGCATTCTGTGACTATTGAAGTACAGTATTTATGCGCTTGGAGTTCAGCTGTAAATCTCCAGTGAGGAGTGTCTAAATGACTGGAAAGGAGGAGTCAATGTAAACAGAGGGTTTGTTAAACATGGCAGGTAAGGAAAGCCCATAATACAGGTGTACCTCGGTTTTACGAATTTAATGTGTTCTCCAGGACGTTTCGTATTGCGAAAAAAATTCATAAACCGAAATGCAGTTTCCCATAGGAATGCATTGAAAACCAATTAATCCGTTCCGGAGGTCAGAAAAGAAGTTTTTAAAAAAAGTTGCTGTCACTATAGGTCAGTGCCGTTTTTTTTTATTGTAATTACCGGTTTGTTCTTTTTTTCTTCACTATAGCTCAGAGAATCAGCTGTCAGTTTCCCCCCAGCTAAAAGAAAGAACGTTTCCTTTTAGTTTATTTCCCCAAAAGAAACAATGTTTCCTTTTAGTTTCTTAAAAGAAACAAAGTTTCCTTTAGCTCCGGGGAAAGTGACAGCTAATTCTGTGAGCTATGGTGAAGAAAAAAAAAATCAGGCAATTGCATTTAAAAACCGGCACCAACAACATACGCTTCGTATTGCAAAACAAATTCATAAAAAAATTTGTAAAACGAGGCGTTATTTTCAATGGATTTTCATTCGTAAACCGAAAATGACGTTAACGAGGCGTTCGTAAACTGAGGTACATCTGTATATGTATAAAGGAGGCACGTTCTGACTACAGTAAATAAAGAAATAAAATATGGGGGCTGGGGAGTATTGCCTACATCTCAACATTCAGAAAGTCAGTATTCGCATAGACAGTTCTGGGGGCTGGCAGGGCATCTTAAAAAAAAACAAAATGCAAGTGTTGGGCTGTGGGTAGAGGAATTTCTCCAAAGGCGAAGGTCACCTTCAGCAATATTTTCCAAAAATCCCCCTAGTTCTTTTGAATAGCACATACAAGTGCTCCTCCCGCTCCTGTTTCAAATGCTGCACCACCTCCCACAGGGCCGGGACAAGGAGTGGGCAGGAGGGGCGGTTGGTATTATGTGAAGTGGGGGGGGGGCACCACATGGAGAGTTCCTACCTACAAGCTGACAGGAGTAGTGATGGCAGCTGCGCTACTCCTGTCAGCCTAGAGCTGGAGGAGACAAGCTAGCTCTATATAGGGAAAGGAGAGAGCCGGGAGGACGTGCGGGCTGTGCCCTCTCTCCCCTCCAGCTCTTCCTCCTGCCACTGCTGCTCTCCTGGATTGGGACTGCCGGATTGCCACTGTACAGTGTTGGTTTACCCACCCCCATCTCCCCAGCAAAGAATGGGGGTAGGCTAAACAAATGCCGCACAGTGGTGATTTGATAGCCAGTGGTATCTTTAGTGCAGGGGGCCCCTGACGCAACCCAATAGCCCTTCAGCAACTGACATCAGTCCCCGCCAGCTGCCTATCAAGACTGATAAGTCGGCTTCCCCTAGGCTCCTCCTCAACTCTGAGGTGTCAAGATGAGGGGGAGCCTGGAAGGTAGGACATCTCAGACATCTGCCGTGTTGCATCTGAGGTCTGTGTGCTTGAGGGAGGGGAGAACTGCACAGGGGACACATTGAGGGGGGGGGATGGGCAGAGTAACAAACACCGGGGGGGGGGGGATATTTGAGCTAGAAGGGGGGGAGGAGAAGAAGATCAGTGTTAGGAAGGGTTTTGGGGGGGGTATGTGCAAGAAGGGGAATTGAAGGGAAAAGATTTGTGCTGGGAGGAGGAATTTGGGGGGTAGCAGGGATGTAAGATTTGTTTTAGGAGGCAAACTTTAGGGGGGGCGGGATGTACTAGGAGGGGTGATTTGGGTTTTTTTTTTTGCTAGGAGGGGGGATCTGTGCTAGGAAGGGGGATTTGAGAGGTAGGTTCTGTGCTTATAGGGGGGATTTGTGATGGGAGAGGATTTATGCTCAGAAGGGAAATTTGAGGGGTAGAGGATTGTGCTAGAGGGGGGATTTGTGGAAGGAGAGCATTTGAGCTGGGAAGTGGGATGGGTGGGGGATTTGTGCTGGGTTGGGGACTTCAGCAGGGGAGGGGGGGGGGGGATTTGTTGATTTGTACTGGAAAATGGGAATTTTTATTTGCAGAAAATTTTGGCTTGCAAGGGGATTTATGCTTTAGAGGTAAGCATGGTATGCATGCAGATTAACGCTCAATTTTTTTTTGGGGGGGGGGGGGGGGGGTTTGCTGCCACACGATGGTCATACAATTTGGTGGACAACGTTTGACTTCTTAGTCCTGGGCACTATATATTACTTTGCCCCGGCACTGTCCTCCCATAACACATGCAGCTGTATGGGTAGAAATGCTCCCCAAAACCACTAGCCCCTCAATCCCCCTCCATCCTGCCCTTTGCAGGACAGGCTGAACTTTACAAATGTGCAACCCTAAGTGGCCGATCCAGGTCATTCAGACTGTATGTGTGCACAGTTTGCTATCTCCCTCTCAGCCCATCCTGCTAATGGCAGTGGAGGGGGATTGAGGGGCCAGCAGTTTTTGCGGGAGAGGGCCCTTTGGCCCCTTGTACTAAACTTTGAACGTTTGCTTTAGCTTTGTACTAAAAGTGTCTATGAACACAAAACCAAAACCAATCCCAAGATCGTTCATGATTTGAGCCCTTTATTACCTGTAATGCATGGTCCGTATGCTTCGTACTGTCAGATGACCATGGAGGAGATATGTGTTGACATGAAAGTCTTCTACTGGATGGCCCAAGATCTGCCAAGAGAAGAGCAGTCCTATGCATATAGATCACCCACACACAACCCTGAGTATTGTCTGCACACAATATGGACCTTCACCTCCCCACAGGAAACACACTTAGGCTAGGCTTACAAATGGCACAGAGCATGCCACTCCTCTGAAAAGCGATCGGTGATGGATCACTTTTTAGAGGCGTTTCATAGGTGAGATGTCACCTCCTCACTGCCTGTTTTAACGTTGTAAATGCAGCATCACTACCAGGGGCGGACTGACCATTTGGAAACTCGGGCACTGCCCGAGGGCCTGGGGTCAGTAGGGGGCCCCATGAGATGCCCCTGGTACCTTTTTCATAGGCTTTTTTGAGTTTGGGCAAGGACACAGGGGCCCCATGATCCCTATTGCCCCGGGGGCCCCATGAGTTGTCAGTCCACCCCTGATCACTACATGCATTGCACACATTGCAGCCCTATTCACCAGAAAGGGTCACAATCATTTGAGGTTGTAATTTCTGCTGAATGTGGCGGGGGGGGGGGGGGGTAATTTTGCCAAAGTCACAATGTGTTGCACTAAAGACTTCGTTAACACTTGAGCAGTTGAGAAACGTTTTTAGCTCCCTTCCTTCAAAACTGTCTGCTTAAAGTATGTGAACTATAGAAAACATTATAATTACCCTTTCCCTCCTTTTTTATAAGTAATCACATCCCCTCTGTTCGCTGTATAGTGAGCTGGGGGAGGAGAAACAGCAGCACTCTGATCTTCCCAGTGAATGGTTGTGCAAGGGGAAGGGTGTCAGGACAAGTCTGATTATTGGAGGAGAGCAGGCTGAGTTCCCAGCACAGCTAGAAAACTGACTACTCTGTGCTCTCATACCTAGTGTGGTCAGTTTTTAATAGGAAAGAAGAGGGACTGTCAGGAACACCAATACAAAGAGAACGGGAGACTTTTTCATACAAGTACATGGTACAGCAGGCACATATCAGGAATATGAAATGTTGGGTTTCCATATTCTTTAACTACAAAGGCAGTGAGATGGGTGTACACATGCACAGCCTATCATCAGTTTTTAAAGTCTGGTCCACTTTGAGCTTAATTTGTGGGGTTAAAGAGGTTGGAAAGCTTTCTTTTCTAAAATAAAAAAGAGCAGCCACAAACCTCCTCTTCTGGGGTCCCCTGCTGCTGCTCTTGGCTCCTTCTCTTTTTGTAAGACCCCATAGCAAGCCACTTGATTTGGGGGTACACCTGCAGGTTCGATCCTAAGCTGCCTGAGGCTGTGTGCATCTATTGACTATTTGATTGACAGCAGCAGAAGCCAATGGCTCCCACTACTGCCTCTGTGAGCAGAGAGAGAGTCACTGCAGATGGGTGTAGCACTGGATCGAGGTCAGGCTCTCGGTAAGTATAGCGCTACCCCCATAGGGGCCGCTCGTAATAGCTGGTGCTTCCCAAATAGTTCAGAGGCTTCCAGTCCCCACAGGCACTGGCCTATGCACATTGGCTCCAAGAACTCAGTCTAGGGATTGTCTTTTTGATATTTATTGCTTGAGGAACTTTAAACAGGTGAGGGGTTAGGGCCAAAATGCTTGCACAGTAACAGAAGGACACTCTCTCCAAGGCTCCAATACATAGCTTCCTCTGAGGACAGGGGAATGGCCAGGACTCTAATCCCCTATGACAGCAGTCACTGGGGATCACAATTCAGGGTCAGTATTTAGGACAGCTGCCACCTTTCAGCTTCCTCCAGACACTTCCCAGTGCAGGAGACAACCCTTCTCCAGACCACATCCCATACGATGAAGTTCCACAACCAGCTCCTAAAAAAAAAATATTACTTCAGGTTCCCGGCTCTGCCACAGCTCAGAACTGCTACCCAGTCCACTGGCGGCCTTGGAGGGCAGTAGCCCCAGAGGCTTTGGAACCCTCCTTGATGAGAAGAGAACAATCTCTCCAAGGTTCCAAACTATGTATCACCTACCCAGCCACCTTCTGGACACTCCCGTCCAAGGATTGGCTAGTACATAATAAATATTCAGACCGGTTATTTTACTTTCACAGCCCCATATTCTGGAAACTTCTTCAAGAAGCAAGGAGAAGCAATCAAACTTCAAGCCTGTGAAACCCTGAACAGGCTAAAGCAAACAATCACCGCTCCCTTGACTACAAAAGGAACCAAAAACTAACTTTGCCAAGCATCCTGCACTATGAGGGTATACATAAGTATACAGGCGGGGTATACAAATAAAGGGACTTTTTAACTTTAATGCAGCCTTTAGAAACATTTTAATACTCTTTACGCCCTTGGTTTCTGGTCTGTAGGTAGAATCCAGAGCATAGGGGGAAGCTCAATCAAACACAGGGAGGAAATACAGACTCCAAATAATGTTGGTTCTGATGAAAACTGAACCCATGATACCAGCACTGCAAAAAATGCTAACCACTGCTTTAGTCTCCATGATTTTGGGGGGGGGGGGGATCATGTTGAGGTCCCTACCTGTGGGATCAGATGAGTGTTACAGAGTCCATAACTGCGAAAAAGTTCAGCTCCAGGAGGCACGAAATGGACAGGAAATGTGAAAATCCCAGTCATCAGAATACCGCCATCATGTTCACGTAATTGAGGAGTGTAATAAATTCTTATACCTGAACTATCCAAAATTCCTGCAAATCAGACACAAAATGTTATGCATACAATTGCCTGTGACCATGAGGAGAGGGTATCGGTGACCCGAAATGTGATTGCACACCTTTACATTTTGATTGCCCTATAAACTTACATTGTGAGGAGGAGAAGTAAAGCGCAACTATTGTGTCACGTAGTCTGGTTAAAAAAAAGTCCACCCAGTTCAACCAATAAAGGGAAAAAAGATATATACAATCCTATACTCATAGTTGATTCAAGAGGAAAGCAAAAAAACCCAGCAAAGCATGATACAATTCGCTCCTGCAGGGGAGAAATTCCTTCTTGATCCCCAGAGAGGCAATCGGATTTTCCCTGGATCAACTTTACCTATAAATGTTATATCCAGTTATATTATGTACATTTAGGAAAGAATCCATGGACTTTTTTAAAACAATCTACTGAGGTGGGCAGAACCAACTCTTGAGGGAGACTATTCCACATTCTCACAGCTCTTACTGTGAAGAAACCTTTCTGTGTTTGGAGATTACATTTCTTTTCCTCCAGATGTAAAGAGTGCCGCCCTTCTCCTCTGTGATGACTCTACACCGAGTTCACTATATGAACCACTGATGTATTTATACATGAAGATCATATCCCCCTTATGTATTATACATGGAAAATCATATCCCCCCCTTATGTATTATACATGGAGATCATATCCCCCCTTATGTATTATACATGGAGTTCATATCCCCCCTTATGTATTATACATGGAGATCATGGAGATCCCCCCTTATGTATTATACATGGAGATCATATCCCCCCTTATGTATTATACATGGAGATCATATCCCCCCTTATGTATTATACATGGAGATCATATCCCCCCTTATGTATTATACATGGTGATCATATCCCCCCTTATGTATTATACATGGAGATCATATCCCCCTTATGTATTATACATGGAGATCATATCCCCCCTTATGTATTATACATGGAGATCATATCCCCCCTTATGTATTATACATGGAGATCATATCCCCCCCTTATGTCCTACCTTATGTATTATACATGGTGATCATATCCCCCCTTATGTATTATACATGGAGATCATATCCCCCCTTATGTATTATACATGGTGATCATATCCCCCCTTATGTATTATACATGGAGATCATATCCCCCCTTATGTATTATACATGGAGATCATATCCCCCCTTATGTATTATACATGGTGATCATATCCCCCCTTATGTATTATACATGGAGATCATATCCCCCCTTATGTATTACATGGAGATCATATCCCCCTTATGTATTATACATGGTGATCATATCCCCCCTTATGTATTATACATGGAGATCATATCCCCCCTTATGTATTATACATGGAGATCATATCCCCCCTTATGTATTATACATGGAGATCATATCCCCCTTATGTATTATACATGGAGATCATACCCCCCTAATGTATTATACATGGTGATCATATCCCCCCTTATGTATTATACATGGAGATCATATCCCCCCTTATGTCCTACCTTATGTATTATACATGGTGATCATATCCCCCCTTATGTATTATACATGGAGATCATATCCCCCCTTATGTATTATACATGGAGATCATATCCCCCCTTATGTATTATACATGGAGATCATATCCCCCCTTATGTATTATACATGGAGATCATATCCCCCCTTATGTATTATACATGGAGATCATATCCCCCCTTATGTATTATTGGAGATCATATCCCCCCTTATGTATTATACATGGAGATCATATCCCCCCTTATGTATTATACATGGAGATCATATCCCCCCTTATGTATTATACATGATGATCATATCCCCCCCTTATGTATTATACATGGAGATCATATCCCCCTTATGTATTATACATGGAGATCATATCCCCCTTATGTATTATACATGGTGATCATATCCCCCTTATGTATTATACATGGTGATCATATCCCCCTTATGCATTATACATGGAGATCATATCCCCCCTTATATACCCCCTTATGTATTATACATGGTGATCATATCCCCCTTATGTATTATACATGGAGATCATATCCCCCTTATGTATTATACATGGAGATCATATCCCCCCCTTATGTATTATACATGGAGATCATATCCCCCCTTATGTATTATACATGGAGATCATATCCCCCCTTATGTATTATACATGGAGATCATATCCCCCCTTATGTATTATACATGGAGATCATATCCCCCCTTATGTATTATACATGGAGATCATATCCCCCCTTATGTATTATACATGGAGATCATATCCCCCCTTATGTATTATACATGGAGATCATATCCCCCCTTATGTACATGGAGATCATATCCCCCTTATGTATTATACATGGAGATCATATCCCCCCTTATGTATTATACATGGAGATCATATCCCCCCTTATGTATTATACATGGAGATCATATCCCCCCTTATGTATTATACATGGAGATCATATCCCCCCCCTTATGTATTATACATGGAGATCATATACCCCCTTATGTATTATACATGGATCATATCCCCCCTTATGATCATATCATATCCCCCCTTATGTATTATACATGGAGATAATATCCCCCTTATGTTCCTCTAATCTTTCCTCATAGCTGATCTCCTCCATGCCTCTTATCAGTTTGGTTGCCCTTCTCTGTACTTCCTCCAGTTCCCCAATGTTCTTTTTGTGAATTGGTGCCCAAAACTGAACTCTCTCTCTCTCTCTCTCTGGAGTCTATGGGGTTGATTTACTAAAGGCAAATAGACTCTGCAAGGGCAGTTTCTCTAGTGCTTAGTAAATGAGGTAAAGCTTCACTTTGCAAAGAACACCCATGATGTGCAGAGAAAAACAGTATTTTTGCTTGCACATGATTGGATGATGGAAGTCAGCAGACCTTCTGCTCATTCACTGAGCTCTGGAGCAACTGTTCTTGCAAAGTACTTAGTGTCATGTTTCACATGACTGTCCTATTGACTGTCATATGCCTTTAAGTGTTTACTATATCTTGTTTCTGCTCCTCCCTTTCTTTTGGTTTAGTTAATGTTGTATAGATAGCTCTCCCCCTTTCCCAGTAATGCATTGCAAATCTAGCCTCACGGCATGGAGCAGGAAACATTATAATCTTTTGACATATTGAATATGCATTGTAAGATTGTCTCAGTTTATGGAATAAACTTCACAAGATCTACAAGATGTCTTATCGATTGAGTCACTGACTGTGGCATCCAACTGAGGTTGAAGTTATTGCTATCTCATCACAACTGTAAGTTACAGAGATCACACTATCAATGCTTAGATTGGAGAGACAGAACACCTAGTCTGTCTGCCTTTAGTAAATCATTTCCTGTACCTCTTTCAGGGTCGGTTCACACCATATAAAATGCACCCCAGATACAGTTTTCATCAAAAAGAATTTCCTGGTTATCAAAAATCACAAGCCTTAAAACATTGCAAATGGCATTATATATCCCCCCAAACCCATATGATTTACCAGAAAGGTGTCATCAGACTGTTGAAGATAGTAGTATTGTTACAGATGAATATGCAACTGTTCCAAATGAACAGTTGAGTGTCACACAGGTTCTTAAAGATCTGGAAATAATCCTTGACCTAGAAATACTTTTTAATATAGAGTCCTATATGGCAACGCAGTGACGTACTTCCAGTTTGGACGCCATCTTGATACACCCATGTACTACACCCAGAAACATGAGGTTTGCTGTTTCAATGCTCTGAACAAGACTATGAAAATGCAAGTGTATATATTGAAGATTTGGGTTTACTTTTTCACTTAATAAACAGTATTATGCTATGGAAGCTCTTAATTGTGTTTTAATGAGATAACTGGCCATATCTTGCCTGGAGAGGAGTTGTATTACCACTTAGCCTGACCTTGAGGGGGAGACCACTGTGGAGAGAGGGACGCAAGTTCCAGAGGAGTCTCTTGCATGGAGGATCCTGTGTAGTGATCCAAAAGCATTTTGACCCCTAGCAGGTCGAGGCATGGAGATGAGCGCATCATACAGCTGTCTGTGGATACGTGTCATTACCCACTTTCACGGGTGTTTTTTGGAAGAAATAGCTGTTTTTAAACACCATTTTGGACTATTTCCATCTGTATTAACCTCCTTAGCGGTTTTCCCGAGTGTAGCTCGGGGTAAAATTTGAGTACCAAGAGCAGTAACCCCGAGCTACACTCGGGCTTACCATGCGGCGTTCACCAAGGGTCCCTGCAGCACTTACCTTGTCCTTCGCTCCCCCGATGTGTCCCCTGCAGCGTCCCCGGCCATCTCCTCCAGCCGATGCCGGCATCCGGCTTCTGTGTTCCGGTCCCTGTGACGTCGGGACGTACGGCGGGAAATTTGAAATTTTTAAAAAATTTAATTTTTGCTGTCATTGCTGTTTCAATGCATTTCACATACATTTTGTCCCGAGTGCTTTGTCCTGCGCCCTGCCTGCATTTTGACATTTTGACTGTTCTTTCTGCCTGGAAACTTAGAAAAGTCCATGGCGTCCAAAAAGCGTCCCTTTACGTCAAAAGCGGTTTTAGACCGGCTAGAGAACAGCGATAGTAAATCAGAACCACTTGCAGAATTGAGTGATAATGATTCGTGGGGGAAATTCCTCATCAGACACTGAAAACGATTTTGCGACTGAGCTCAGCGATGTGGGAATTTGCCTCTGTATTTCAAATTTCAGTGTTTTTGGTTTGATTATATTATTGAATTAAATTTATTATTATTATATTATTATTTTTTATGATTATTTATTAAATTATAATTTATGATTTCGTGTTTCAAGTTTTATCATATCCGGAATGTTTACTAGACTCGTTGGACAGATTTCAGTGAGTTATTCCTAAAAATTACAGGCCTACAATAAAAAAACTACATATTTCCATGCAAAAAAAAAAAATGGTACCGCTTTCAGCACAAAAAATCGGAAAGAATCATACCGCCGAGGAGGTTAAAGGAACATGCGTTGTTCCCGAATATTCATGATGTTCACGTTTGTGATAGTTTATAAGCACCATCACGCATGCGTTTTTGTGTTTGTTATTGTTGAACACTGGTTTTGTATTTTTTGCTTATTTGTTTTTTCATTTGTATGTGTACACGTGTTTTTTCTGATTGTCCTTATTTGGAATTATTGGTCTCATTTGGACTTATTTATTTTTACCATCACCTAGACCAGCAATGGGCAAACTACGGCCAGCGGCCCGGCGGCGCACCTTTTAATCCTGCCCGCGGAGCGTGATGTGAGGCTGTCAGGATGTGTGTAGGCGGGGCAGCGTGATGAACGTGAGGGGAGCTAGGCTCCTCTCACAGTCCGCCCTGAAGACCGGAACGGCGCGGGAACACGGCGAGAGGAACGCGCGGAGCAAAGGTAAGTAAATTGACACAGGGGGGACTTACTATAGGGGGGATGAATTACTATAGGGGGGATGAATTACTATAGGGGGGATGAATTACTATGGGGGATGAATTACTATGGGGGATGAATTACTATATGGGGGATGAATTACTATGGGGGATGGATGGGGGGATGTATTACTATATGGGGGATGAATTACTATGGGGGATGAATTACTATGGGGGATGAATTACTATATGGGGGATGAATTACTATGGGGGAATGAATTACTATATGGGGGATGAATTACTACTATGGGGGATGAATTACTATGGGGGATGAATTACTATATGGGGGATGAATTACTATATGGGGGATGAATTAATTATGGGGGATGAATTACTATGGGGGATGAATTACTATGGGGGATGAATTACTATGGGGGATGAATTACTATATGGGGGATGAATTACTATGGGGGATGAATTACTATATGGGGGATGAATTACTATGGGGGATGAATTACTATATGGGGGATGAATTACTATATGGGGGATGAATTACTATATGGGGGATGAATTACTATGGGGGATGAATTACTATATGGGGGATGAATTACTATGGGGGATGAATTACTATATGGGGGATGAATTACTATGGGGGATGAATTACTATATGGGGGATGAATTACTATGGGGGATGAACTACTATATGGGGGATGAATTACTATATGGGGGATGAATTAATATATGGGAGATGAATTACTATGGGGGATGAATTACTATACTTACTATGGATGACACATACACATCATTCATCTACTCTTGGTCCGGCCCCCGGGTCCAATATATGAACCCATTGCGGCCCTCAAGTCAAAAAGTTTGCCCACCCCTGACCTAGACCCTAACAGGGTCATTTTTTGGGCACTATTATGTAATAGTCACACTTGGACTATTTTTGCACACTTATATCATTTATAGATCCTATTGGGATCATTTGACTTATTCAGTAGTGTGATTACTGGAGTTTATTCACTTGTTTCTTGATCACATCTTCTTTTTCACTTATTCCTGATCCTTGTGAGATCATGGTTTATGTTTAGGATTTACAGCCCATAGGCTGTACTTTGTAATATTAGTCACTTTATATATATCAGTCACTTTGTTTTATGTCGCTTATATATGCGATTTATTTATAATATTATATGTTTCATGTGCATTTATACTTTATGAGTCTTTTTTGGTGTTAGCGCTACATCATTTTTTCCATTAACTGTGCGCTGCCATGTGTATCATTTTCATAGGCGTTTGGGGAGCGTTAAAAGCGCCCCTCAAACGCCTGCCTACAAAGCTAGTGTGATCTTAGCCTGTTTTTTTTTTTCTTTTGTAACAGCTCAGCATTCAGAATACCAATGATGACGTGATTACCTTGCTTGTTTTGAAAGTTGCTGTAATGAATTTCAATCCGGATATATTTAGGGTCATCCTCGGTGCCTATGGGAACTCCCATATCTGGTGGAAAATCAAAGACATCTCGGTGCCTAGGGGAACTCCCAGTATCTGGTGGAAAATCAAAGCACCTATAGTGAAGAAAAAAGGATCATGACCATGGAGGAGAGGAAAAATTGCAGAGGATTGGTCTTCACTGCCTCACATTAGATGCCGACATTTTGCTCATAGCTAAAATTTACTCTAAAAGAACTAAACTTTTTTTTTCTTTACAGGATGTATTTTTTATGGGTTTATTTAGGCTAGTTTAGCTTATTTAATGTAGTATTTTATAGGTTTTTTTTTTTTTTTTTTTTTTTTGTGTATTTGGTTGTTATTTTGTGTGCTGCTCCTTTTAACTTTTATTATACATTTGTCACTGTCTTTTTTTCTCATTTCTCCTTAACCTCATCCTTTATATTTTATAAAAAAAAATGGGTAATATATTTTTTTTTTTTGTGTCCTAAAATTAACTTTAACTGAAATTTGGCACTTGATAAACCCTTATGCTAATATGGTGTGACATAAAATATTGAAACTACCACCCTTTTATTCTCCAGGATCTCTGCTTTCAGAAAATATAGGATGTTTCAGGGGTGCTAAATAATCTTCAAGCCTAAAAGGAGTTCTAAACATGAACAAAAAATTGGCAGTGGCCAATCAGTGATCACATGATCGGGACCTCGTACAGAGGTCCCGTCCGACGATCGGTGTTTCACTGTGTCCGGAGGACACAGCGAGCACCGGATCGCGGTGCTGCGCGCTACCAGGGAGCGTGCACAAGCAGGGTGCGGGGAGGCCGACCCTGCACTGCCACCGTCCGGCCGTTTATATACAACGGCCGGTCGGGAAGTGGTTAACACAGTTTCACTTTCATGGACTTTACATTTTGATCATTCACGGATGTTTTTTTTTGTATTTGTGATTCACATTTATATGTTAATATATTGAATGATTATTAGGATTGAATATATTGTTTATGCACATGATATTTTTTATCACTGGTAATATATTCGCTTTTTTTTTTGTGTAATAATTTCACCATAAGGATATACTCCTGTTTATGGGTCATTTATCACTGAGCACTATTATGTTGACACAAGTGGCACAATTAGCATGAATTTATCTATAGTTATGATTTAGGTTGATCTAGCGCTTCACTAATTTATGTATGTTTATCTCCATAGAGTAATATTGATTTTTTTCTCCCTGAGTGTTTTGGAACTTCGAGCGTCGTGCTACAAAACGCTCAGGTGTGAATGGGGCCTAAAGCTCAGGTTTCACAGCTAATGGATACAGAAGTTGTTCACCGGTTCATGTCAGGTTTACATCAGGTTCAGGACAGGATCAGCTCTCAGGATTGTCCTGGTCACACATATGCGGCTTCCCATAGAAGTCAATGAGACAGTAATCCGCACCTGAACCGGACCGCACTGCTCAGAAATCGTACAGGACTCTTTTTCAAACCGCACTGAATCCAAACTGAATTCTCACCGCCAGGGCATCGGACATATGTGAACAGGCACCATAGGAAGCAATGTTTTTCATATGTCATGCGGATTGGATGCGGTTCAAACCAAATCCAATCCACATATATGTGAACCGGCACTTAATTCCAATTAGTGTCTGTGTATAAATAGTCAATGAGTTTGTTATCTCTCACGTGGATGCCCTGAGCAGGCTAAATACTGAGCCATGTGGAGCAGAAAACTGTCAAAAGACCTGCATAACAAGGTAATGGAACTCTATAAAGATGGAAAAGGATATAAAAAGATATCAAAAGCCTTGAATATGCCAGTCGGAAGTTGTGGAAAGTTCGGGGATCTCTTGATTCTAAGCCAAGGTCAGGTAGACCAAGAAGATTGCAGCCACAACTGTCAGAAGAATTGTTCGGGATACAAAATAAATACTCCCAGGTAATCTCAGGAGAAATACAGACTGCTCTGGAAAAAGAACCAAAATTTCAAATTTTTTTGCCAGGGTATGCAAACCTTTGAGCTCAACTGTAGTTACTAGAAGTGTTGTACTGCAGTAAATCATAAATCCAACCAATAAATTATTGAATTTCTCTGTTCAAAATTACATAGTTACATAGTTAGTCTGGCTGAAAAAAGACAAATGTCCATCCAGTTCAACCATAGCAAAAAAAAAAGTTATAATCCTACACCCACAGTTGATCCAGACCAGGGGCGGAATGACCATTTGACCACTTGGGCACTGCCCGAGGGCCTGGGGTCAGTAGGGGGCCCCATGAGATGCCCCTGGTACCTTTTTCATAGGCTTTTTTGGGTGTGGGCAAGGACACAGGGGCCCCATGATCCCCTATTGCCCAGGGACCCCATGAGTTGTCGGTCCGCCCCTGATCCAGAGGAAGGCAAAAAAACCAGCAAAGCATGATCCAATTTGCTCCTGCAGGGAAAAAAAATTCCTTCCTGATCCCCCGAGAGGCGATCGGATATTCCCTGGATCAAAATGCCGATATATAACAAAAAATCACGTGTTGGTTTAGCTAATCATTTTTTTTTTTTGCATTTTAATTCCTTATGAACCTCATAACTTGGTGGACTGCAGTTGTGTGCCCTTCCCCTACATATCATACACTAAGATGTCTTCTTCCTCATTTCAGAATCTTGGGAGGTACGCCTACAACCTGGAAGTTCGGGGATTAGTATGGATGGTGGAGCAGCAGTGACAAGTACAGCAGGTAAGTGTTTTTGGGTCGGGATGGTGGGTTGTAATTGTACTGATGTGTTTTTATCTTAATGCTTTGAATGACTACTTTTGAGGATTTTCCATAACCTTCAGAAGCCTTTTAAATGTATTTTGACAAATTTTCCTGCCTATTGCAAAAAGTTTCTAAAAAAAATCTGAGGAACCCTAATTACATATTAATGATTCCACTTACAACAGATTGGCCAGGAAGCCCAAATACAAGTCTGTTGGCTAATTGGCCAAATATTTACCATGCATTTTAAAAGGATATTGGCCGGCAAATTTTTGCCACCACATTCAGCCGCTCAAGAAAGATTGTAAGGATGGTAAGGTTGTTTGGCAAGTTTGTTTTGCGGCGCACAAATCAATGCATTCCGTAAACTACTGACCTCTCCACCGACTGCCCACCCGAACATGGAGTTCATGCACTTGGCGTATCTGGGGTCACTGCCATAACAAGATCCGATCTCTGATGAGAAATGAAGGTTGTTGCCACATCCATAAATCACAATGTGATGAACTATCCCAATGCTGTCAGGGTCTTGAATTACCTCATACTGTAACATGTAAAGGTAAAAAGAATTAATTGTCCGTATATGTATACTGTATTTATACACTGGTCCTGGAGTCGGGCTTTGAATGGTGTACACTTTGTTTTCTCTCTCTCTCTCTTTCCTCTCTCTCCTCACTCTCTCCTCTTTCCCTATCCCCTCTCTCTCTCTTTCCTCACTCTCTCCTATCTCCCTCTCCCCCCCTCTCTCTCTCCCTATCTCTCTCTCTCTCTTTCCTCTCTCTCCTCACTCTCTCCTATACCCCCTCTCTCTTCCTCTCTTGCTCTCTCTCCTCTCTCCCTATCCCCCCTCCTCTCTCTCCCTATCCCCTCTCTCCCCCCCTCTCTCCCTCTCTCCTCACTCTCTCCCCCCCCCCCTCTTTCCTCACTCTCTCCTCTCTCCCTATCCTCTCTCTCCCCCCCCCCCCCCCTCTCTCTCTCTCTCTCTCTCTCTCTCTATCCCCCTCTCTCTTTCTCTCCCTATCCCCCTTCTCTCTCTCTCTCTCCTCTCTCTCTCCTCTCTCTCTCTCTCTCCCTATCCCCCTCTCTCTCTCTATCCTCTCTCTCTCTCCCTACCCCCCCTCTCTCTCTTTCTCTCCTCTCTCCCTATCCCCTCTCTCTCTATCTTCTCTCTCCCCCCCCCTCTCTCTCTCTCTCTCTCCCCCCCCCCCCCCCCCCCCCTCTCTCTCCCTCTCCTCTCTCTCTCTCTCTATTGGCTTTGCTTCTAAATTGTTCTAAGTGAAAAAATAAGCAAGTATGCTGATATTAGTTTTTATTTTCCTGGCATGTGATTGGGTATTATTTGCAAAGTGAATTTTCACTACATTCACTAAACCAAGAAATAATTCCAGTATGGCACTTTCCTCCACTTCAATACCCGTCCAGAAAGGAGCTATGCTCTTAGCCCTGGCATTTGGAGAGCTCTTTAGTTGAGAACTACACACTAGAAAAGACATCCAATCCGGATTCTCACTTGATAAAAGTGTTCCTGCACTCCTCACCCCCTTTGTTCTACCAATGATTTTTATTGCTCTCTCTCCCCATTGCGGAGATGCCCCCCCCCCCATCACTGTGACAAGAAGAGAGATGAAGTTCCTACAAAAAGAGCCAAGCAACAAATAAGGGACATTTCAGTAACATAGAGAAACATTAGCTCCTCTGTCTGGATTTTATTCTGGATTTTATTGGAGACAGTGTCCCCAGCTGGAGACATTTCCCTTTGTTTCCTGTCCCCAGTTGGTTTTTAGAAAGAAAGAAAAACCTGATGATGGTCCTAACCCTTCCACATTCTTGAAAGAAATGTTGACCAGAATTTGCATTTGAATGGTTGTGTTTTTAGGTGGCTTTTGCTGTTTTTACATGTTGGAAGTTCCTTCACACGTTTGAATCTTTAGTGTTTTTTGAGTATTATTACTACAGATAGTTATATAGCGCCGTCAATTTACGCAGCGTGTTACAAAGATATATTGCCAATTCACATCAGTCCCTCACCCTCAAGGGGTGTACAATCTAAGGTCCCTAACTCACATTCATACATACACATACTAGGGACAATTTAGACAGGAACCAATTCACCTACCAGCATGTGTTTGGAGTGTGGAAGGAAACCGGAGTACCAAGAGGAAACCCACGCAGTCACAGGGGGTACATGCAAACGCCAGGCAGGTGGTGCCATGGTTGGGATTCTAACGAACAATCCTAGTACTGCCAGGCGGAATGTTAATCATTTAGCCACTGTGCTGCCCCATATAAAAATCTATATAAAGCTTCCAACTGTCAAACTTGGAGCTCAGATCCTTTTCATAATTATTCTTAATCCTTTGGCAAATTTTAAGGACCTCACCCTAACTATATGGTGCTTGGTAGATACATTTGGCATTGGGATGAAGGTACAGGCATACGTTGTATCGTCAACTGGAATCAGGAACTGTTGGGGGAAAAAAGAGAACATGTTCAACATGAATGACTTTTCTGTAAAGTTACACTAGAAGTAGAAGTTCTGTGTATTGCAGCATCAGGAATGTATTCATGCGGACTAGTAAAGTTATAGAACACTCCACCTTTAATGATGGTGATCCACTTTATGTTGGATGTGTGGAGGAAGACAGGAGGTGATTTGTAAATACATTCAGTTTCAAGAGGACATATTATACATCATGTTATTTTAGGTGGAGGTCATTTTGGTTACATTTTGTCCCAGCTTACAATTTTTGTGGCGTTTGTTGGTACCATTAGACTGACCATTCAAGCACTCGGGACACTGCCCGAGGGCCCAGGGTCAGTAGGGAGCCCCATGAAATGCCCCTGGTATCTTTTTATAGGCTTTTTTGGGTGTGCTTTGAGTGTGGGCAAAGACACAGGGGCCCCATGATCCCCTATTTCCCGGGGGCCCCATGAGTTGTCAGTCCGTCCCTGGTTGGTACTTACATCATTAAGTTTGAATTCATAAGGGATCAGAATGTCAGGGTCTACCACTTCTTTAAGGATTTCCAGGAAAAAGAAAGACTTTCTATAGGTATTTTCCTCTGAAAATGTGAACTCATGATCTTCTCCATGCACGATAATCACTCTAATGGTGTCATTCTAGAAACAAAATAGTTCAGAAAAGTTATAATATAAAATCCCAAAGTTAAACAATCTTTAGTATTATAGAAATATACAAGTTTCAAAGGAATTTACCAATAAAGTGTCACACTACTGATCCACTCATCCTCCACTTCTATGCAACCAAACGTTTTTCAGAAGATTTATATTGTTCTATCTCTGCACAGACTATCCCCCATTCAGTCTATCATGAAAGCTTCTGCTAGATTTATCAATCCCTCAGCTGCCCCTCTCTGCCAATCCCTCCCCTGGCTTCCAATCACCCAGCACAGATTAAATTTAATATACTAAGAACATACAAAGCCATCCACTTTGCCCTGAGCTGCACCATGAACCTCGTCTCAAACTATCACCCAAACCATCCTCTCTGCTCGTCCCAAGACCTCCTGCTCTCTAGCTTCCTTGTCACCACCTTCTATGCTCACCTCCAGTACATCTCCCATCCTCTGGAACTCCCTACCTTGATCAGTTTAGTTATCTCCAATTCTATCCTCCTTTAGGAAGTCCCAGACAACCAGCCATCTGTGTTGTGTTTGTGTTGGGACAGCTTGCATGGGTTCCAGGAAAGCTGCTTTGGGATACTGTCTGGTCTGGTGCTTTTCTTAGTGCACATCTGTGACTTTATTGTCCCTATCCTTTCAAAAGTGTTTATTTTTTTTGCAAGCCCTGAGGGACAAGTTTGGCTATGCATCTGTTGAATGAAACGGTCAGATGAATGGTCAGATGAAACCAAAATAGAACTGTTTGGTAGAAACACACAACTCGTCGTGTTTGGAGGAGAGAGAATGCTGAGTTGCATCCAAAGAACACCATACCTACTGTGAAGCATGGGGGTGGCAACATCATGCTTTGGGGCTGTTTCTCCGCAAAGGGACCAGGACGACTGATCCATGTACAGGACAGAATGAATGGGGCCATGTATCGTGAGATTTTGAGTGCAAACCTCCTTCCATCAGCAAGGGCATTGAAGATGAAACGTGGCTGGGTCTTCCAACATGACAATGATCCCAAACATACCGCCCGGGCAACGAAGGAGTGGCTTCGTAAGAAGCATTTCAAGGTCCTGGAGTGGCCTAGCCAGTCTCCAGATCTCAACCCCATAGAAAACCTTTGGAGGGAGTTGAAAGTCCGTGTTGCCCAGCGACAGCCCCAAAACAACACTGCTCTAGAGGAGATCTGCATGGAGGATGGGCCAACATACCAGCAACAGTGTGTGCCAATCTTGTGAAGACTTACAGGAAACGTTTGACCTCTGTCATTGCCAACAAAGGATATATAACAAAGTATTGAGATGAACTTTTCATATTCACCAAATACTTATTTTCCACCATAATTTGCAAATAAATTCTTTCCAAATCAGCCAATGTGATTGTCTGGATTTGTTTTCTCATTTTGTCTCTCATAGTTGAGGTCTACCTATGATGCCAATTACAGGCCTCTCTCATCTTTTTAAGTGGGAGAACTTGCACAATTGGTGGCTGACTACTTTTTTGCCCCACTGTAATTGTTGTTAATGAACGATCACATAGTCACATCAAGGCAACATTTCACATGCTGATGAAGGGGTCCTGCAAGACTCTGAAATGTTGCCTTGCTGTAACTATGTGATCGTTCATTAAAACTTTTGGACCCATATTGGTGATCCTCGGTGTGCTGGTGACATTCTCCCTTGATGATTCTGTTTGGTTCCAGCCGACAGTCATTGCAGCACCCACTTATACACACCGCCATTTTTATTGCAGGAACCTGTGCGTTTGGATTGCACACTTGAATAGTTTCAGGCACACCACTTGACAGAGCCAGCAGCATGATATTAAGGATCTTTTTAGCTGTCTGTAAGGGATATTCAGACCACCACTGTATGGGTTACATTCTTTCTACTGACCACTAATGTAAGGGGCATTTTTGCTTCCTAATGGCTTGGGTAAGGGTTCCCCAAGACCTGAAAATGATATTAGAGTTTCATCTAGGGTTAAAAATGTTGAGCGAGGCTGGTCTAATAAACATTTTATATACAGCAGTGTATGGCCGTGTACAATTGGTTTTACATGAAATTTTGGAATGTATTTTTATATTTCGTACACAATAAAATTATACATTTTTATACATTTGGTATAAGTCCTCAGTGTTGCACCAAAAATCCATCTTTTTAGCACTTTGTAAATTAAAAATAAATAAAGCTGCTGTTGAGTAAGGCGTCTTTCAGATGAGCTGACCGATCATGTCCGCCTATCAGTTTTTCAGGTGGATCCCAATTGGATCTTCCATTCTTCTCTATGAAGCAGAGGGTGCAAATGGGCATGTGTCTGTTTACACCCGCCGATATCCAATCCGATCCTATCTACTGAAAACAGCGTTTTCCATCTAGTAGATCAGATGGCAGTCGGGTGTAACCAAACAGGTGGTCCATTTACATCTGACTGTCCGTAGAGGGCTGTGTCTCTCTCTGCTCTACATAAGTGGAGTGGATATGGACCAGCCATCTGCCTGCTCAGCGGAGATCAGCGGACAGACTCCTAGCAGAGCCCCATGTGGAAGGGGCCTAAAAATGAAGCCTAAAAACATAAAGCACCCATACATTTCTGATCAGTGGTGCGCTTGGGTTCAGTTTGGAAGTTAGCTGTCATTGCTGGGCCAATGCTCTACGGGTGGGAGATTCCCCACCCCACAGATGATGTGCACAAAGGGACAGAGATACTTTCAACACCATTTGCGTAAAATGGGCAGATGGCCATATTAAGTAAATATTGTTGGAAATATCCCCTCCCCCTTTGTATATGTGCAGGGGTGGGGAATCTCCTGTCTGCAGCTCATTGGCCCAGTATGACAGCTAACTTCTGGGATTGGACTGAACCCATTCTAATGTCAATATCTATTTCTAAAAAAAACCTGGATATTTCATATCTATTTGTACATGGAATTTATGAGACCGTATAACCATATAGGCTATGATGAAAAAGGGACTTAAGAAGTCCTCCAACCAAATCAATGCATAGCACAGTAAAACCTTCTTTGAACAGAAGGTATTCACATGTCTCGCTCAATCACTTGTGCTAAGAGGGTTGTTCCTAATTTCAGGACAGTGGGCGGAGCCAAGTAAACGGTGCTTTATTTTTATAGGTATTTGTAGCCAATCTAAGAAGGCTTTACTGTGCTACCAGGGGTGGACTGACCATTTGGAAACTCGGGCACTGCCCGAGGGCCTGGGGTCAGTAGGGGGCCCCATGAGATGCCTCTGGTACCTTTTCATAGGCTTTTTTTGAGTTTGGGCAAGGACACAGGGGCCCCATGATCCCCTATTGCCCGGGGGCCCCATGAGTTGTCAGTCCGCCCCTGTGTGCTACATAGAATATCCGAAAGAGTTGGGCAGAAGTTTCATGTTTGATTTCCTTCCAAAGACCTCAGTGTTCGAGTTTTCAGGGGCATTACTGTTTTAAACCCCACCTAAAAAAAGAACACGGTGAAAGTCATCAATCTGAAACATAAAACATCCTCTAGGCATTGACAGAAAAATTACATGAATTATTCTGCATGCTTTAAAATGTGTGTAAAGGAAAAACTTATTTTTGCTGAGGAAAAAAAAAAATGGAGTGATAGCGCTGGAACCTTATGGTTATCCTAATGTTATAGAGGGATGGGGCAATTCCTATTTTAAAAAAAGTGCTGCATTATGAACACAATAAAAAAATACTGAACTGAAAATATAACAAACAAATCACTCTGTGAAATATATCATAAAGTGCACAACAGAAACACAAGAAAAATAATCTTCCATTAAAAGAGAAGTTCGGGATTGTAAAAAAATAAATGTTAATACTCACCTAGGTGGATGCAGCATTGGTTTGATACTAGATCTGTCCCCCACCACCTCTAAGACTGAGAACTGAGTGATCAAAGACTGCTGATCACTCAGTTCTTGGTCTTCAGTGACTGACAGCCACCGGCTCTCTGCTCTGTATCTCCAGTGCTCACTGCAGTGCCGAGCCCTGGAGGGGGCTGGAGGGGCTGGCTCAGGCTCTTAATGGCAGGCTGATAGGGTGAGTTAGATGCCTGTCAGGCATCTAGGTGGATCCCAAAATTAAAGTCAGGGATCTCTCTATAGAATGGACCAGTTAAGTGACATAAGCCAACAGCGGATTTTATCCCACTGTCAGCTGACAATGGGTGACAGGAGGCCAAAAGAGCTTTGACCCTACTTCTTTTTTAAATATCATACTTTTGCGAGAATATGTGCATATAATGGGCCTCGGAAGTCTGTGTAAAGCACCACATATGTGTTCCTCGACCAAGTACCACACACAAACTGCGAACGTCAGACCCTCTATTCAGGGAAGTAATTAAATGCTTGGTCTAACCCAGTGTTTCTCAACCTTTTTTCAGCCAAGGCACCCTTAAAAATGATGGACAGTCCCAAGGTACCCTTTAAAATTATGGACAGTCCCGAGGTACCCTTTAAAATTATGGACAGTCCCGAGGCACACTTAAAAATGATGGACAGTCCCAAGATAACCTTTAAAATGATGGACAGTCCCAAGGTACTCTTTAAAATTATGGACAGTCCCGAGGTATCCTTTAAAATTATGGACAGTCCCGAGGCACCCTTAAAAATGATGGACAGTCCCAAGGTACCCTTTAAAATGATGGACAGTCCCAAGGTACCCTTTAAAATTATGGACAGTCCCGAGGCACCCTTAAAAAGGATGGACAGTCCCAAGGTACCCTTTAAAATCATGGACAGTCCCAAGGTACCCTTAAAAAATTACGGACAGTCCCGAGGTATCCTTTAAAAATTATGGACAGTCCTGAGGTACCCTTTAAAATTATGGACAGTTTCAAGGTACCCTTTAAAATTATGGACAGTCCCAAGGTACCCTTTAAAATTATGGACAGTCTTGAGGCACCCCATTCTAAAATGGGGTGCCTCAAGACTGTCCATCATTTTAAAAGGGCACGCCATTCTAAATGTGAAAAGTTTTATA